TCCATGTGACAGGAACCAAAAAAAAAGCAAGAGTAGCTATCTTCTTTGCAGATCAAGTGGATTTCAAACCAACACTGATTAAGAGAGACAAAGAAGGGCACAACATCCTTGTCAAGGGAACAATCCAAGAGGAAGAGATGACAATCATTAATATATATGCACCAAACACTAGTGCACACAACTATATAAAACAAACACTATGGACATGAAAAATCATACGAGCACTAATACAATAGTAGTGGGGGACCTTAATACCCCACTCTCACAAATAGATCAACTAGACAAAAAATAAGCTCTGGAACAAATGAACTTAACAGATGTTTACAGAGTGTTCCACCCAACAAAATCAGAATACACATTTTTTTCAGCTGCACACAGGTCGTTCTCAGAAACAGACCACATAATCGTTCATAGAATATGTTTAAGTACATGCAAAGGAATTGAAGTTATCCCCTGTATATTGTCAGACCATAGTGCAATGAAATTGGAGATCAATAGCAAAAGAAACTGCAAAAATTTCATAAACACGTGGAAATTGAACAACACACTTCTGAATAACCAATGGGTCACAGAGGAAATTAAAGAAGAAATCAGATAGTTCCTAAAACTAAATGACAATGACAATACAACATATCGGAATCTATAAAACACAATGAAAGCAGTCTTACGAGGGAAATTTGTAGCAGTGAATACTCATATGAGGAAAATAGAGCGAGCCCAATTAAACAACCTGATGCTGAACCTCAAGCTTCTAGAAAAAGAAGAATAGGACAAACCCAAAGCTCATACATGGGAGAATATTATAAAGACCAGAGCAAAAATCAATGCAATGGACACTAAGAGAATGATACAAAAAAATCAATGAAGCCAAGAGTTGGTTCTTCAAAAATATAAACATAATTGACAAACTCTTACCCAAGATTATCAGAAAAAGGAAAGAAAAGGGCCAAATCCATGCAATTAAGGATGAAAAAGATGAAATTACAGTGGACCCACCAGAAATCCAGAGGATCATCAGTACTAACTTCAAGAACCTATAAATCATTGAGAGGGAACACAGAAGAAATGGACAGATTCCTAGATAAGTATGAATTTCCAAAGTTTAACAAAGATATCCTAAAAATTCTAAACAACCCATTACCAATCAATGAAATTGAAAATTTAATTAAAAATTTACCAATTAAGAAAAGCTTGGGTCCAGATGGCTTCACCACTGAATTCTACAAGACATTTAGAGAAGAACTATTGCCACTACTGTTTAAACTCTTCAGTGAAATGGAAAGGGAAGCAATACTCCCAAATTCATTCCTGGAAGCAAGCATGACCATGATCTCCAAAGCAGAGAAAGACTCAACCAAAAAAGATAACTACAGGCCAATCTCACTAATGAACATAGAT